AAACGTTAGGAAACAAGACTTCAAGACCACGGCCATACAGCCCGGAAGACCCACACCAGCCATTAAATATAAAGTGTTACAAGATGCAAAGGAAAGAGGAGGATTGGGTCTACCTGATTTGAAATTGTATTTTGCAGTTTGCTATTTGCTTGGGATGAAAAAGTGGATGCTGCTGAGAAATAGAAGGCTTTTGGAGTTAGAAGGACATGACCTGAGATTTGGGTGGCATGGATATTTGTGGTAAGGCTTTTGGAGTTAGAAGGACATGACCTGAGATTTGGGTGGCATGGATATTTGTGGTAAGGCTTTTGGAGTTAGAAGGACATGACCTGAGATTTGGGTGGCATGGATATTTGTGGTACGATAAAGTCAAGGTTAATGTGGATTTTAAAAATCATTATGTTAGATGTGTCATATTGAGAATATAGAATAGATACAAACCCAGGTTGTGCCCGAAAACACCTTTGTGGCTTTCAGCACAAGAAGCATTTTAGAGATGAGAAATATAGACAAACACAAATGTTTAACTTATTGTAAGATAATGGAGGGGATGTATTGGATGCATTCAAGGGGAATATAAAATAAAATCAAGAGAACAACTGGTGGAAGAGGAATATAGTTGCCAGTGGTTTTCTTATTTACAGTTATTAGAAAGATTTAAAGTAGACAAAAGAGTTTATGGTATTAAACACTGTAAGACTGATTTTGAAATAGAATTGTGTACAAATGATGAACTTGTAATTGCTAAAATGAATAAACTTTTATTGAAATTTAAAACAGAAGAAGTGAAACAATGTATGATAAAGTGGGCTAAAAGGAAATAGTTATAATATAGAGATTGAACAGTGGGAAAATGTGTGGTTGAAAGGATTAAAATTTACATTGAGTTATAATCTTAACTTCTTATTAATTTGTCACCAGAGGAATTGTCTAGAAAGTATAAAGGCACTTCAAATTTATGTTGGAAACGTGAACAACAAGAAGGGACATTTTATCTTCCTTGGTGAACATGTAAAAAAGCTAGAACATTTTGATTCAAATACACACACTGATTCAGAGGATTTTAAAGATTAATAAACAATTGAGTCAAGAAGACTTTCTTTTGGGACTGATGGACAAATAATTGGCAACTTTGTTTTTGTATATGATAACTGTAGTGAGATTATTGTATGCATGATGATGGAAAAATGTGGCAATACCTACAATGGAGGAATGGTTGGTGAAAATGATGAAACTTGCTGAGATGGCCAAATTAACTTCTTTGATAATAGAAAAGGCAATATCTATGTTTATTGCCTGCATTTGCCACTAGAATGATAATCAGACAGATTTACAGCAATTGGTTACTTATAGCAATTTCAGGTTTAGTATAATCCTCCCCACAATAGAGCTGTAGGAGTTGTTATTTTAAAGAAAGGAAAATAATTCTAAATAGAATAACGTTCAGTTGGGGGAAAATGCCCACTTTAGTAAAGTACCAAAGAGATTGGATATATTTGAAAAAAAAGTATCTTTACTTGATATGAACAATGACAGCGATGACTCACCAAAGGAACTCAGGAGCCCTGAACAAAGCATGATTATGGATTATATCTTTGACTTGTTACATAGGAATGATAAAGAAAATTTTAGAATTATAGTTTATATGATTTGAACTTCTCTACAGTTTGAACTTGGGAATGCATGTGCAGATGAAAAATATAAAACTAACTAAATAAAGTGAGTTGTAGCTGAATATGCAGAAAAGTATTTGGAAGGAAAGGAGAAAGAAAAAAAGGGGTGAATTGGGGGGGAATGCCTTCTGCCTTGATGAATCCTGAAATATGGAGGTCATACTCCATTCAAACAGTTCTTTCTTGTTATCATATTAAAAATGGAAAGATATGGATTTCTCCAGCAAGCATAAAAGGAGGAGCAAGAGATGAGGACATACGAAGAAAAGGATAGATGGCTAAATAGATAAGTTTACAATATGAAAATGTGAAAGTGAAGCAAAATGAAGATGTTTCTAACTTTTATTTTTCTAATAAGTAGTTCTGAAACACTTTTTTCCAGTTCATTTTCATCCCAGCTTAAACATGAAGAAACAAAAATTAAATATACACTTCAGAAAGTAAAGTTACTTAGCTTCCCCCCCCCTTAAATAAAGAAGTGAGAAATATTTTTAGTCAAAGTATTTTTTATTGATAAAGAAAATTCCAGTATCATCTATATGATGTGGGAAAATGTGATTGCTTGAACAAAATATCTTCATTCAAAACAAGCTTCTTTAGCAGAAGTAAATTTAAACCGGGTCCAAATTTATCCCCATTGGTTCATTTGTACAAAGGACAAGCTGTCTTGGAAATAAGCAATAGATATGGACTAATGTTAGTGGGAGATTGGTAGAAGAAAATTATAGACTCTATATAGCTTTCTCTCCCCTACATAAAACAACCCCTGCACAAAAAAACACACACACATGAACACTTGATTTCAAAATATTTACTGCTAAACGATTCCTGATTCTTTTAAAGGTATTCTAAGATCAACAAATGTTTTTTCTCGAAATTATTTTTGGACTTCCACTTTACTTTCTCAAAGGAACATATTTCCTGAACTGGTACTAGCTAATGACCAGGATATAGATCTATAGTATATTGAAGGTGGAATCAGGAACATCTGAACAGCTCCACCCTCAAACCCTTGGTCTATTTCTGCCTCCTTCAGTTGGAATCAGACTGGACTCAAATCTGCCTTACATGTATCAAGGACAATCCCAGTTAGATGTAAGCAATGAATCTGGAACCCTGTTAATAACATGGCATGTGCAGGAATGAGAGACAGAGCTTGAGTTTGGAAGTAATGAACAGCCACCTAGATTCAAAGGTGAATATTTGACTTGGGTCACATATTCTCATGCCTGTAACCACTATTGGGAATCCTTTAAAGAATCTCTGGCTTTACCTGAGTCACATTTTTGCCCTATCCAACCACCATGCTAAACAAAAGAAATGTAAATTTACTTCAGAGTTTAAAAAGTTGAGAAACAGGACTCCATTCTCATAAAAAAAAGCTTTCTAATATAAGACAATAAGAGTATGAAACTGTGGGATAAAATTTCATATTAAATCTATTGTTCACTTTTGTCCGTCTCTGCAATTACATTTTCCATTAAAATGAATCTCCTCAGCCCAAGAATTCTTGCCAGAGCAACTTTGATATCCTTGTTTCTCATGCTATAAATTAATGGATTCAACATGGGTGGAATAATGGAATACATTATTGTAATAGTTAAATCAAGGTGTGATGGTTTGTCAGACTGAGGCCTCAGGTAAGCAAATGAGGAAGAAAACAAAAATATGGATAAAACTGTGAAGTGGGGAAAACAAGTGGAGAAGGCCTTTTTCTTTCCCTGAACAGAAGGGATTCTTGAAACAACAGAGAAGATCTGTACATATGTAATAATAATGAACACAAAACAACCAAATACTAAAGTCAAAGTAAATATTATATATCCAATTTCAATTACATATACATTTGAGCAAGCAAACTTAAGTAACTGTGGGATTTCACAGTAGAATTGATTGATCACATTAGAGCAGAAATGATTAGTAAAAGTTCCCATTGTGTTTAACACAGCATTGAAAAAGCTGGTAATCCACACGCTGCCAACCATTTTCGTGCAGATCCTACTGTTCATTATCATTTCATATTGCAAAGGATTGCAAATGGCCACATACCGATCATAGGCCATGACAGTAAGGATGCCGACATCAGAGCCCAGGAAAAAGACAAACAAGAGGACTTGAGCAACACACCCTGAATAGGAAATATACCTTCTATTCATGACCAAATTAACAACAGCTTTGGGAACGATGACTGAAACAGAACCAATATCTTGCAGGGCTAAATTCATCAAGAAGAAGTACATGGGGGTGTGAAGGTGGGAATCCAAAGCAACTGCAGAGATAATAAGAAAGTTCCCTGTTATTGTCATTAAATAGAGTACCAGGAATAAAGTTAAGTACATAATCTGTATTTCCCATATCTTTGAAAATTCCAACAGAAGAAATACAGTTGTGTCATTATCCATTTTTGTACAACCTAGGAGAAAAAAGGGAGTTGTTATAGTATTTTTTATTGATTTCAGTCAAGAGACATTTGAACAGAGAGTCATATACTTACAATAAAGATTACATTAAAATGTGAACCTTGAAAAATATATGCAAGAATTTTCAATAAAAACTTTACATCGTTACCCCTATATTATCTTGGCTTTCTTTGAAGTTTGGTTTTTTTATGTTTTGTACTGAACTTTAGCAGCAATGATCCAAATGGCAGCCTTTTCAAACTTGAACTGAGATATTTTTGTTGTTATTTTAATTGGAAACTTTACAGATTTCTTCATAAATGGAACAGAGTTATCCATTTGAAATAAATCTGGGGGAGATGGGCAGCATATAAATTTAACAAACAAACAAACAAATAAATATTCAGTGACAATTGGAATCTCTATATATTCTACTATATTGAAATTAATTAGGGTTGCTCCCCACCTCTTCTACCAGGGGTTTTATTTTTTAACAGCTACTCTGCAGGGATGTATAAGATGCTCCCCTCATTCCGATTCTTTGTTGAAAAGAACCATTTTCTATAAGATACAAATTTCTTCATAAATACAAAAATAAATACATTATATTATAAAACAATGAATTGCAAGAAAAAATGTAATTGTCAATATATTCCTCTAAAGAGTTATTCAGTCAAAAGTGACTCAGTTGAAAGTGAATTTAGCCGTACTCAGAAAAACCAGCTCTATTATTTTGAAAGGCCCCTATCTGTAATAGCTCTAGGAGTATGCTGTTTGTGTCCAGGCTGGGATTAGCCACATCAAATTCTTTTGGAAAATGCAAATAAGGAGAATTACTTTTGATTTCTCTCCCTTCGCTCTATCCCCCCCGCCCTGCATATATTTTAAAGTTTCTTAGAAGAAGGAAAAAGTACTTTGGTTTGATCTTGCTACCGATATTATAACCAGTTACATTTTTAAGAATTGTTAGGAATTATAATTAGTGTAACTGCACCTCACTAGAGAAGAGGAGTTAGCTATTTAAAGGATGGTCTTTCCATCACAATAGGTGGTCTGAGTTCATATATTTGGGGGGGTCTAATACTGCAATGGTAGAGTATCACCCTATTATTTGAGGGATTTTTAAAATAATAATAAATAGCCTCCACTAAAGCTTGGTAGAATTCTGATTCCTTTGTTTTCCTATCAAATCCCTCAAAGAAAGAATAAGAATATCCTCCAAATTACCTGCTCTTTTCAACCATCCTTGGTAAAACAGAATGGAAACTCTAATGATTGGCTTCAAATCTAAACCTCCTAGATCTGTGCTTTATATGAATAAAGCATTTCTGAAATCAGAAATTCAAATCGTTAAGTGAAATTGTTGAATTAATGAGAGACAAATCAAATCAAACCTTCCCAGTTGAATCTGGAAAGGTTTTGTTCTGAATTGATGCAGGTACTGAACCGACTGTGAATATTCAGAAAAGGATTTTGTTCATTAATTCTATTTGGCTTCTTGAATTAAATCATCAACCCAGTTTGAAAAGTACATTAGTTTCATGATTCAATCAATTTGTTTCAAATAATAATTCCAAACTATTACCATTGTGCTGTTATTTAAGGATACATTAAATAGAAACATGATAGTATATTTAAATTCATAGTCGTGGGATTATCCTGATTAAAATAAAGATACAGGAAGGTATAGTAAGATAAAGATGAAGGTATAGTACAGTAAGCCTTCTAACTGATGACAGTTTCATCCCAGTCTCTCACTGCACTGGTTGTCCCATCAACAAGGTAAATATATGGATTTCTTTAACAAGTGTCAGAGGAATGCAAAGAAAAAATGGAGAAGCAAATATGAAGAAAATGTATATGGATGAATTAAAAAAACAAACATGGGACATTCAGAACATGGGAATGAGAATGATAGAAAGATAAAACATTCAGAACATGGGAATGAGAATGATAGAAAGATAAAACAGAAAATATTTGTTTACTTTCTTGAGTAATCTCTATCTAACCTGATTTTATGTTGCTAGAAGTTCTTTTTTTTTTTTTAGATGATCATTTTTGTCTGTTCCTTGAAGCACTGTTACTCCTCCTTTGGAGTGGCATTGAGTGTGATCTTGTCAAAAATCAATATTGGTTTAAAGAGTTTTCTGCATTGGAAGAAATGTTTATCAGTTCTTTCACATCTCAGAGACTTGCTCAGCTCCCAGAAGTCCTGCACAGGTGATCAGAAAAAACTCTAGAGACCATCTTTCCTTCACTTATATTCTCACTTTGCTTTTCTAATAAACATAGCATGGTAATAATTACTAACTTCTATACAATTTAAGAGACTATTGTGCCTCTCTGAGTTCAAAAGTGGAATCTTTGAGATGAGATGGTTGAGAGGGAAGCTAATCAATCTTTATTACATACTATGATATGGCTTAACTGTATGTATACTGTGAATTAAGACAATTCTTTAAAGATTTGCAGATTCAAAAAAAGGTCTTATATTGATTTCTTATGTGCATTTGATATACATTATACATATTTATCCGGACAATATAAAAATCTTACTGGAGAACTAATTAATTTTTTTGTAATAGAATTCCATCATGAATGTATCTCCCATATAGTTCGTTACATAGAGAGAGAGAGAGAGAGAGACAGACAGACAGACAGACAGACAGACAGACTCAACTCCTGCCAACTACATGGACAAAACTGCACCATATGACCTGTCTTCAAGAACCCCTTTCAAGAAGAGTCTTACAAATGGTTTGATCCTGTTTATGTCAGGCCTAGCCCAAGGAACTCCAAGAGACCATGTAAATTCAGTCCAGCAATGTTTATTAGCTACAACCTCTAGC